CATACCTTTGTAACTAGGTTAAGGATCAGCTTGCACAGGCAAGCTGCAGTCCCGCAGGCTATTCAACACCAAGGGCCTAATCTACACTCTGCTGAAATCATAGTCTTTAAAAGGTTCAGTAGGTTTTGACCAACTTCATTGAGCTTAGAGGCAAGGCCCTATAAGAGGCATTACTAAATCTGCCCCAGTGCACAGCACGTTACACTCTGTAACTTGCTATTTTTGCAATACAGCACATTTTTCTACAATTTAAAATATCATGCAGTCCTACTGTTTCTCCTGTGTGCTCTTCTGCAGAGAGCATCAAGTATCCCTAGATGGAAAAGTGCTAGGGCTTAAAAAAAAGGCATGATATTCAATATCAGTATTTCTATAACTGGGGAAAGCATTGCTTAGAAAACAGAAGGTAAACACTGTGTAATTTGTAATGTGTGGGGTGTTTTTTTCCTTGATAAGCAGTATAGGTTGATGCAGGTAAAGACTCTCCTGGGTGCAGCTGAATGGACAAGCACAGTTTTGCTGGGTGTTTTTGCTTTACCAAACATGCACAAACTTAAGCCTGTGGGCTTGTGGGGTTGTTTGTTGATTTATTTTTCTTTTTTAATGGGACCAAAGTAGGACAGTTCATAAGGCAAGTAACAGCCAGGCCTTCTAGCTTTTGGTTTTACGAACCTCCCTATATTTATTCTATCAAGGAACAAAGAAAAGAAGCGTCCAGATCTGAGCCTCTTTAGCTAGCCGATGCCAGGAGCATGGTTAGGAGCTGTGGGAAGGCATCTCTGCCGGTGTCGGAGTCGCAGCGGTGCCCTGCTGCCCGCTGTCCTTTGCTCATAATGACAGAGAGCTTTGACCCGGCCACATCTCTGCTTCTGGAGGGAAAAGCAAAGCCTTCTCTTAGGGCTATTTCAGCTCCCAGGACCCTTGTGCTGCCCCGGCTGTCCTAGCAGCTGCCCAACGAGCATTTCTGCCTTTCACATCCTCTTCCCCTGCTTACACAGTCTACAGCTAGTATTTTCCTTTTTTTTTTTTTTTTTTTTTTTAAGCCAAAAAATGCCCCCCCCCCTTCTCTTTTCCCC